CTATTTACATTGTCATCCTCATCTTTATTGTCATATTCATTACATTTCGGCCATCGTATGCTCTGGCCTTCTTCAGGTGATATATGTTGGAATTTCAAGCCAAACCCTTTATTTTATCTAGTTTCACATGCCATGCCTTTTCTAGAGAATTCTGTTTCAGTTAACTCTCCAAGTTTTTGTTGAATTCACAACTCTTTGGAATGAGTGATCAACTCACAGGATTACTGTAACTAACGTTTTTATCCACTTGGGAACATCAGTGACTGAATTTTTGAGGCTCATAAATCTTATGTCTCAATCATTTTTTACCAGAGCTCATATTACAATTTTTTTGTTATATTTGTTTTCTCTCTGTGTCTATATCTCCAAGATGAGTTATTAAGATTACTTGAATTATTTACATTATTCGTACTCATATTCTCATCTTCATTGCCATATTCACATCATTTTGGCTGAAATGAGTAACCCCACCTTAGAGGAGAACATGACTGAGAACTGTGTGTACACCATCCGTGCAGCTGTGGTAGGAAATACAAAAGAGAAACAGGCTGCCTCCTTAAGGTAAAAAGTACAAGAACATTTTAAAGTGGTAACACAAAGGGGAAATAGAAAAATTAGGTATAGCTGATCATATATAGAGGGAAAAATGAAAATCACCTGCCCCTGTGGGATGAGGTTGAAATAAGCAACAGAGAGCATCACTGGAAAATATGAAAACTCAAGGAATCAGCACATATGCTAGGCCACAAAAATCTGAGCCAGCCAAGAATAGAAATGAATACAATATGGGAACCAGTAATAAGGAGTGCTAGAGAAAAGCAATGAATAACAACACAAAAATTGCAATATGAGCTCTGGTAAAAAAAAAAAAAATGCAATATGAGCACTGTTAAAAAATGGTTATTGAGACATTAAGTTTATAAGTCGCAACAATTCATACACAGATGTCCTCAATGACACATGGCCCAATGGATAAAGACATTGGTTAGATCCAGAACCTAAATAGTTGTGAGTTCAAAAAGAACTTGTCTCAGTTATTTCCTTTAACTCATCCATGTGGTGGATGAAATAAAGGGTTTGGTCCAAAATTCCAATCACCTGAAGAAAGCCAGAGTGTACAACAGCCGAAACGTTATGAATATGGCAATGAAGATGAGGATATCAGTCCGAATAATGTAAATAATGTTGTTTTTCTCTAGCTCGCAATATTGCTGGTTCCCATATTGTATTCATGTCGATGATTGGCCAACTTAGGAGATTTTTTGTGGCCTAGCATATGTGCTGATTCCTTAAATTTTCATTAGTGGATAAAAGCATTAGTTGAAATACTCTAGTGACTTGACCCAAAGAGTTGTAAATTCAGTACCTGAGTTACTCAAACAGAATTAACTGAGATATCCAGAAATTGGTATGGCATATGGAATTAGAACAATCTACCCCCATGGGCTAAATAAAGGGTTCAGTTTGAAATTCCAACGTATATCACCTGAAGATGGTCAAAGTGTACAATGGCTGAAACGTTGTAAATATGACAAAGATTTAGGATAACAGTCCAAACAGTGTAGATACTTTTTTCCATCTCACATTTTTAACAAGAAAACCTTTGGCAAACAAAAAAAGAAATTTACAAAATTATCAAAATGTTTAAATGCAATGAATAAGATTTGAAACCTAGACTAATTGCCAATTTTACTTCCCTTCACTCTCTCGGCAATGTTTGTCGTGATAAAAAGCGATGATAAGAATTTTAGTGAATCCCAAATATATGAAATTGAATTTATACATTTTCTTTGGTCTGACTATAGATAAATCACTTGGCAGATTTTCTAGTCATTTTTTTTGTATTTTTAAATTATCAACTACTTAAAGCTTTTTTTCAAAATTGCTTTTCAAAAATGAGTAGGAATGGAGTTAACCTATAATTGCCTTAGATTTCAAGATAACGATTATAAAATATATTATATCCAGAAACTCATGTTTATTCAAATTTTGTTTTGTAATTCATTGATATAAAATCATGAATAAAAAAAAAATTTTTATAGTTATTAATAAAATGGTAAATAATAAATATTACATTGTAGATGGTTTGCATATTTTGATAATTTTGTAAATTTGTTTTTTACGTTTGTGAATTAAGATTTCTTTTCACATTTATTTCTTTATAAAATGGTAAATAGTAAATCTTTATAAAAGGTAAATACGGCATTCTACTTGGTTCACCTGTTTTTATAATCTTGTAAATAAACGTTGCTGAGGGAGTCAAAAGTGTATACAGTAATAGCGGTTTAAAGGGAATAACCTTCTTTTTGACAAACCTTTTTTTTTCGGCCACAAAGGCTAAATTTTATCTGATTATTTCAAGTTTAAAAGTTTATTTTTATTTTATTTCTCAAATTTATGACGATTTTATTGCTCAGTCTTGTGTAAGGGTTGTCCAGACTGAGCAAAATCAAATGTATTATTCGAATGATTTCTTTCTTTCTAAAATGGTAAATGATAAATCTTTATAAAAGGAAAATAATAAATGTCACATTGTACTTGGTTCACCTGTTATTATAATCTTGTAAAGAAACTTTGCCGAGGGAGTCAAAAGTGTATACAGTAATAGCGGTGTCAAGGGAATAGCCGTCCTTTTGACACATCTTTTTTCACGAAAGTTAATCGTTGGAAAATGGGTGCCTCATGAATTGTTTGAAAACAACCTCAAATCCCGAGTTGACGTCTGCTCTTCTCTCCATTCTCACCAACTTGTTTCACCTTTTTTGGATAGATTTGTGACTGGCGACGAAAAATGGATCTTTTATCGAAATGTTAGCGTCAGAGACAATGGCTTGGTAAAGGGAAGGACCCCAACCACAGCCGAGAAGGGAACTTCATGGGCAAAAGGTTCTTCTTTCAATCTGGTGGGATCGCCAAGGAATAATCCACTTTGAATTCTTACCACCTAATGCAACAATTAATGCTCAAATATACTGTCAGCAATTAGAGTGTTTGAACCAAGCTTTGAGGGAAAAAAAAGGCCTGCTCTAGTGAATCGAAAAGGGGTGATGTTTCATCAGGACAATGCGTGACCCGACACAGCAAGAATCACATCACAAAAGATCGAAGAACTTGGTTGGGAGAAAATTCCTCATCCACTTTATTCTCCCGATCTTGCTCCTTCAGACTACCATTTGTTTCGTAGCTTACAGAATCATTTGGAAGAAACAGCTTTTGTAACACAGGAAGAGGTTAAAACTGACATTTGTGAGTTCTTTGAATCAAAGCCAAAAGAATTTTACAGTAATGGAATTAGTAAGCTTGTTAATAGATGGAAGTCATAGATAATCAGGGAAAATACATTGTTGATTGAATCTGTAATTAAATGTAACATTTGGTCACTTGTTTTCTTCATTCGAAATTCGGACAGAAATTATGGGATGACCTGAGACTTGCTTCACCTGTTTTTATAATCTTGTAAATAAACATTGCCGAGGGAGTCAAAAGTGTATACAGTAATAGCGGTTTAAAGGGAATAACCGTTCTTTTGACATACTTTTTTTCTTTTTTTTTTTTTTGCGTGCACGAAGAATAAACATTGCAAAAAAGATCATTTAATAGCTATTCATATCCCCAGAACTTTTTTTCACGTGTGATATGTTTAATACGTTTTCTTATAACATAATATTATTCTGAGAATAGGAAGTATTATTTTTTAATTTTTTTAAGCATAGCTTTATGTTTTGAGAATCATTTAACTGAAAGCAGTTCTATTTTAATTTATTTTCTACAAGGCAGCCTTTTCTATATCATGCTTCATTTAAAGAAATAGTGTTGTTGCCGGACACTTTCCCTTGTGTTTCCACGTAAAAATGAATGACTGACATGTGACTGGCACGTCTGGTTTAAACTGAGAAATAATCACTGAATTGTAAATAAAGTTCAGCAAATTGAAACGTGTATAGGACACGGGTTAGACGTTGTACAATTCAAATGTTATGAGAATATTCTATTTCCGTATGTTTTTTTTGTTTGTTTTTTCTTTTTAATAAAAGGATTTCTTTTCACATTTATTTCTTTGCAAAACTCTAATAAATCTTTATAAAAGGTAAATAATTTTTTCTAATCTTGTAAATAGACATTGTAAAGGGAGTGGACATAGTAGTACCAATGATAAAAAAAAAAAGTCCTTTTGAAATACTGATTTATTTATTTATTTATTTTTTGCAGGGTTTAGATTTAAAGTGATTGTCAACTCCGCCAGAGAGTAGCGATAGGCAGCATTGTGTCTGTAGGAAAGAAGTTTCCTCCACAAAATTGCGTGAACGATTTTGAACTCTATCATTTAGCATTAAAAAGCAGTGATGGTTTTTTTTTGTTTTTTTTTAATCCAATTTAGAATTCCAGCTTTTAAGAAAAGATAAAAAAAAAAAAGAAGAAATTATAAATTGTTTCTGCCTTCTGTCGCGTTAATTTGGTAAAAATTCTTGTTTAAGTTTCAGCATATTTATTCACTTCTTGTTGCAGTATTTTGTCTACAACAGAGATAAGGCTAAACGTGTGAGAGAAAAGTCAAAAAGGCTTTTATTATTAGCAAGTAATCAACTGAAATGTTTTTTCTTCAAAAAAAAAAAAAAAAAAAAAAAAATACAATTTAAAACTACTTAAGTAAGTAAAAGATTTTCCCCACCCACAATAAGAATTTTTTTTTTTTTTTTTTTTTTTTGTGGGGCTGAAAAAAAAGTTTCTCGTTGGAAAAGAAAGGGAAAAAAATTGTGGATGAATTTTTATCACGCAACACTTGAATCAAGAAACATTTCACAGATTTTTATGTAGTAGACAAGATGAAAAATCGACAAAATTTATGAAGGATTTTTTTTTTTTTTTATTCTTTTGATTTGTTAAAAAAGATTTATTTAGAATATTTTCTCGAAGATGATGGATTTTTTTTTTTTTTTTTTTGGGCTCCGTTTTCCATCTGAAATTTTTTTTCTTTTTTATACGAGGGTGCGTTTGATGTCATGATCCATATCCTCAAACAGATCAATACACCTCTCTTTCATCTCTCACTCTCTCTGACATTCTTTTCCTCTATTCTTTCATCTCCTTTTCCCTCGCTCTCCCTTACTCTCTCTCTCTCTCTCTCTCCCAGTTCCTTCCCTCTCCGTCTCCCTTCCCCTTGCTTTCTCTCTCCCACTTCCTTTTCCTCTTCTCTTTCATCTCCTTTTACCTCCATCTCCCTCTCTCCCTCTGTCACTCCCAGTTCCTTCCCTCTCCCTTCCCCTTGCTTTCTCTCTCCCACTTCCTTTTCCTCTTCTCTTTCATCTCCTTTTCCCTTGCTCTCCCTCTCACACCCAGTTCCTTCTCTCTCCGTCTCCTTTCCCCTAGCTTTCCCTTCTCTCTTTAAACTTCCTTTCTCTTCCTTTGTCTCTCCCTTCCCCTTGCGTTCTCTCTCCCACTTCCTTTTCCTCTTCTCTTTCATCTCCTTTTCCCTTGCTCTCCCTCTCTCTCTGTCACTCCAGTTCCTTCCCTCTCCCTTCCCCTTGCTTTCTCTCTCCCACTTCCTTTTCCTCTTCTCTTTCATCTCCTTTTCCCTTGCTCTCCCTCACTCTCTCTCACTCTCAGTTCCTTCCCTCTATCTTCCCCTTGCTTTCTCTCTCCCACTTCCTTTTCCTCTTCTCTTTCATCTTCTTTTTTCTTTGCTCTCCCTCACTCTCTCTCCCAGTTACTTCCCTCTCCCTTCTCCTTGCTTTCTCTCTCCCACTTCCTTTTCCCCTTCTCTTCCTTCTCTTTTTCCTTGCTCTCTCTGTCACTTCCTTTCTATTTCACCTCCATTTATCTCTCTCTCACTCGCTCTTACCCTGCCTCTCTTTCATTTCCCTTTCCCTCACTCTTCCTCTTCCTGTCACATCCCTTATCCCCACCTCTATTTAACCTCACTTACTCTCCCTTACTACTCTTTCAACTCCCTGTCTTTTTGTTCTCTCTCACTTCCCTCTCTTTCAGCTCCTTTTATCTCTCTGTCACACTTCTCCTTGACCTTGATCTCTCTCATTTCCTTTTCCCCTCGCTCTTTCTCTCTCACACACTTCCTCTCCTTTTTCCCTCTTTGTATCTCTCTCTTCCCTTTCCCTCTCACCCTATCCCCTCTCTCTCTTTCTCTCTCTCTCTCTCTCTCTCTTGCCTCCAGTTGTTTATTGATCAGAGAATTTGAGGTGCGGCAGACGTTTGAATTTTCAATTTTGCATCTTTTTCTTGAAAGATTTGCCAAACATTTCCAAAAGCTTCGAGTGAACATGAAATGTTGAAGTGATTTTAAAAAGATTAAAAGAAAATGAATTAATAGAACCAGCCATGTATATAGCAGCTGCGTCCTTTCAACAACAACAAATAATAATAATAATAATCTAGTAAAGCAATTTAAAGATAAAATAATATTACAATACAAATTATAACAGGTAACAATTCCCAATTCAGCCCAGTAGTCGAAGCAATGAAGCTGATATCTGAGGTTCATTCAAGAAGTTGGTTAAAATTAGAATTTCTGGCGGGAAAATTGTCAATCTGTTATTCTTCATAATGCGTCCCCAAAATTTCAACTGTCTCTTTCTGATTTTATGTATAAACTTTTTTCTTTTTAATCATTTCACCCCAAACAAGGCAATAAAGCCACTAAGATGCAAGTGGTTACTAAGCATTAGAGAATATAAAAAGAAAAAAAAAACACTACCAGGAAGAGAGAACAAGAATTAAGAAGATGATAGATAATGATTGACATTGTATTTAAATGTTTGAATAAAGTTGGCTGTGAAGCAAGAAGCCAGGAGAGAGTTCCACAAGTGAGAAGTGCGATAGAAGAAACTGTAAGCATAGAACATACAGTTACATCTAGCCATTTCAACTGTAAAATGATGAGACCTAGCCGCCAATCCAGTACTGCACTTGAATTCATAAAGTCTAGGTACCATAAAGAAAAGTTCATCAGAACAATTACCACCAAAGTATTTATAGAAAAGGCAAAAAGCTACATTACGGCGATGGGAAAGTGACTGAAACCGAGATGCCTGGTCAGGGCCAATAACATTGCAGATTCTTTTTTTTTTTTTTTCTGGTTTTGTCAAGAATCTATAAAAATATTGCAGGAGCAGATGTGACAGCATGGACAAATAGTAGATTTATAAATATGTAAGATAGATTCTAGCGAGAAAACATTGTCCAGACACAAAACAGGGAACTTGTTTTCTGTGCAGCAGACATAGCGATTGTTTCAATATAATCTTTTCACTTCATGTTAGTGGAAAATGTTAACCTGGAAAATGAGTCACTCTCCTGGAGTTTAGCATCAGCCGTACTGACGAAAGGTAAAAAAAAAATGTTCTTTGAGACGCGATAAAAAAAGGAGTTTCGTTTTGGAATTTCTTCCAATTTAAGAATGTGTTGGAAAAAAATAATTATAATTTAAAATTTTTTTTTTTTTTTTAAAAAAAAAAAAGAGACGGTCATGAAAGGAAAATTGATAAGTAGAGAAATAAAAAGGACTAACCATCAACTGGAAAAAAGGCTAAGTTGGTCATCAGCAAGAGGAAAAGTTCACGATGCGAGTTTACAGATTGGGCATATAAACATTAATCAGATGCAACATTTCTGAAATGGGTTTTAACAAGGGATGGAAAATGCGACATCAAGATCCAACATTGGTTTCAGAAGCATTCCAAGAGCTAATCAAGGTGATGAGAAAAGGAAACATTTCGTTCTAAACAAAGAATGGAGGGTTGGATTGCTATGTGATATGCGGCACCGAGATCCGAACAATGCATTGGACTAGAGAAAGAAGCATTCCAAAAGCTAATCAAGGTGATGAGAAACGGAAATATTTCATTCTAAACAAAGAAAAGAGGGTTGGATTGCAATGTGATATGCGGCACCGAGATCCGAACACGCATTGGACTAGCGAAAGAAGCGTTCCAAAAGCTAATCAAGGTGCTCAGAAACGGAAACATTTCATTCTAAACAAAGAAAAGAGGGTTGGATTGCTATGTGATATGCGGCACCGAGATCCGAACAGGCATTGGACTAGCGAAAGAAGCATTCCAAAAGCTAGGCAACGTGTAGATAAAGGAAAAAAAATCGTTAGTAATCCAGAACTTTTCTTTGTTTCTGTGTAACATCCATTCTCTTATATGGCAATGATTGTTGGACAATCTTCCCGCAGATGAGGAAAAAACTGGAGACAGCAGAAATGTGTTCTACAGAAGGATGCTGACAATTTCATGGATGGAGCGAGTGAGAAACAAGGATGTTTTAAAGAAGACGGCAACACAAAGAACACTTCTACTCAGAATCAGGAAAAGGTAGCAGAAATTCCTTAGAGACGTAATATGTCATGTTTATTTATGTTTATGTCTGTTTGAATTCCATATTTTATGTTTTACTTTTTTTTTACCTGCACTCACAGGAGTCTGTCAAAAATTGTTTGTGGACAAATGTACCAGGAGTTATGAAATGATAAGACTTTCTATTCTCGCAACAAGAGTAAGTAAAATAGATGCGTACAAAAACCCCGATAAAATAGGCTTTTTGATGGGAGGTTGTCAACACCTAAAATTTTCATCGCATTCATGATTTGATTTTGGTCTATCGGCAAATTTCAACCAGAAGAATTGCTGACATACGAGGGTTGTTCAAGGCACTGATTGCCTTGCATTTGTGGTTTACCCCACTTCGGCATACGAAAAAACGCCCGCTACGTGGTGCTTTTTAAGTCTATAAAAAAGCCAAAACGTTTCAATCTTTATCTTCAGTCTTCTTTCCTGTTCTTTTTATTGTTCTCGCTCCTTATTCTTTCACACTAACCACCTGCGTCATAGTGGCTTTATTGCCTTACTTGGGGTGAAATGATTAATATATACATCTACATATATATATATATATATATATATATATGTGTGTGTGTGTGTGTGTGTGTGTGTGTGTGTTTGTGTGTGAGTGAGTCAGTCGTTCAAGTCTGAACCGACTCTTCGGTTAAACTCTCTTCCTACGGGCGGGAGGAACCCGAAGGAGGCTACGCCGAAGGGCGGAGTCTCCTTCGGGGAGGTAAAACCGGCCCTGAACCCGTTTATACGGGTTCAAATGGGCTATTTTTTGGCTGAGCCTAATGGCTCGGAAATGCCCACGTTAAAAAGGCCTTGTGCCACATGACACCCTCGTGGGGGGGGGGGTGACTCAATATCGTATATATATATATATATATAATTATTTATTTAAAAATATGATTCCAACACGCTACATAAGAGTTCTCATGTTTCAAAACAAGAGCCGAAAACTTCAATGTAATTATTAGAAATAAATTGAATTAAATTACTAAGCTCTGTTCCATCTTCAAGCGAAATTTTTTGGAGGGGAATAACTTATTTCTTAAATTTACGTGTTTTATAAGCATATTCATTATTAATATCAAAATTTCTATGGTAACGACTAGAGCAATTGTTTAAAGAAAAAGGGGCGTAAAGTGTTAATAATTTGTATCATTATCTCGGTTACATTCACAGATGTCAAGTCAGGGTAAGGTTGGGGTGTCTAAATTTAAAGCGGAAGAAGACATCGCATAGTCTGGTTACAATATATATATATATATATACATATATACAAATTCATGAATTATTCACACAAAAACAAATGCAAAGGTTAATGATTTAATTGGCGAGAAATCCATCGTCGCAAACAATTCAAATAATATACAAAAACCTCCGAATCCGTTATGAATGAAATGATCCTTGTTTCTATAAATTTCTGCCGTATTAGTTCTTATTTTTACTACAAGCTTTCGTCTGTTCCTACAGACATCTTCAGGTATAGAATAAATGTTCTTGTTTTTTCTCTTAGTAATAAGAGGACAACGAAAATATATGTATTGTTGTATCCGAAAATGCTATTGGAAATGAGTTATTGTTTTTGGAGCGCGCAGTAGCAACGCTGAGTTTGATTTAAAATTTTTTAAAATTGTGCGTTCATATACAAATATGGTGATGAACGAATTTTTTACTGGTAAATTTTCTGTCAAAGTGGCATTAACTATATTGTTCAATAATTACAGTAATGTCGCACTTATTATCCAAAAGTCGCACTTGGATCAGTTATTTAAATTACGATAAACGTGCAATCAATTTACAAATTCATGAATTATTCACACAAAAACAAGTGCAAAGGTTAATATATATATATATATATATATATATATATATATATATATATATAATTTAAGATTTAACAAACAGCAGATATTTTTATATATAGTGCTCAATGCCAAAAATATTAAAATAATATTAAAAATAGAGCGTTGATAATATTATATGAAAAGATTACTTAACTTTTAAATATCAATTATATCCCGACATCGATGTTTCTTGGTAAAATTTCCAATCTTCAGGGTTTGTGGTTTTAAACGGTATATCCATTTTTTTTTCACTTTGTTCCACGTCTTTTTCAATCGCTTTTCACTCCGTTTTGTACACATTCATATTCATGAATTTAACGTTCTTTTACACGCCCACGTTCATGAAATTTTGCTTTTCTTTACGTCTTGCATTTTTTTTCAGCTGTACATTTTTGTTCCAATTGTAAATTTTTTCTTCGAAATTAAATATTTCCTTCGAAATTAAATTTCTTCTTCGAAATGAAATTAAATGTTTTTTATGGTTTATATAGACGTAATTCTGTTAAGTTATATTATTAATTAAATTATAATATTTTAGTTAATATTTTAATTAATATTTTAATTGATATAAAATTGCATTGAAAACCGGAAAGATTCGGATTGTCAATGGTCATGAATTACTGTAAATGCATTGCTGATACAATAGGGCTATTATATGTATAACTAGCAGCATGGCCCGGCGTTGCCCGGGCTTGATTCAAAAATCGTACGCCTCATAGAGCAATCGCTATCACTTGACTTAAAATACTTTTGCCCTTCCTTGCCTTTAAAAGAGTGCCCTTTGCCGTGCTGATGTTGCTACATGCCTTACTTCTTGCCTATCTCACACTGCGAATTTTTTCTAAGCCCTATACTAAACATTAAATCTGTTACGAAAAAAGAACTAAACAAAATGAACACAAAACGATCAGCTTTAAAAAAAGGACTCGTAACTGGAAAAACCGAATGAAAAAAGAATGTTAACAACAAATACATTTTCAAACCCAACCCAGTTCTGCGGAATCAGAATCAACGTTGAGTTTAAGCAAGCGAATGAGACAATTGGAGTAAAGTGCCATGCAGATTTAAATTTTTCCCACTTGTGACGAATGCAGC